ATAGATATGGTTAGAAACAAAGTTATTATAAATCAAATCCCATCCTCACTTGCTTCGAAGTCTTCAATGGTTTCCCAACATACTTAAAAATAAAACCCACCTCCTTCAAGTGGCTGATGAGGCCCTCATAGCCCCCGTGCCAATCTTAACTTGTCCCTGCTCTCCCTCACTCACCAGATCCGGCCACACTTGCTTTCCTATGTTTCAAGCACACCTGCTCTGGTATGCTCCCTGGGCCCCATCCTGCTTCTGAATGGCTGACTCCATCTCCTCCTTTGGGCCTCAGCTCAAATACTTCCTCCTCAGGGGAGGCCTTCCTTATCCATCTTATCCAGAATGACCCCCCATCTCACTGCTATGACTTGCTGACACACTAACTAATTAATTTCATAACACTCACATGCTCTGAATTTACGCTCTGAAATTATCTTGTTTATTTGTCCCTGTGTTTATTTAATGGTTCATCTTCTTCTAAATATGAAAGCATTTATCCTGACTGTGGGCACTCGAGTTATCCTGTGTCAATAGGCATATATCGGGCACTCGAATATTTTGTAGGCGGGGACCAGGGGCGCCGCGCAGTAGGCGTTGCCTCAAAGGGAAAAGCCCCCGTTCTCCACGACAAAACTGGAAGTTGCTATACGCCTATGTTTCAAACTCATTAGGACACCCAACTTGCAATAATACATGAAGAGAAAAGAAAGAAGAGGAAGAGCCTAGCCCTATGCTGATGACTAAAAAGAAATGTCAAAAAGAGCAAAATGTTGCTGGCTTCAATTTCCACATTTATAACACTGCTGGTATTAAAAGCAAGTTTTCTTGGTTTCATTTCTCCCCAAGTGACACAGTTCTGTGCCCATCAAGCCCAGCACTGTGATACTACTTATCAAAGACTCCAACACCCACCCAGGCCAGTCCCGGGATAACCAAGGGTTTCAATCTAAGTAAAACTGTGCTTGATTCAAAATGGCAGGTGGAAAAGTGTGTACTGTCCCTAAGAACTTGAATACTATGGCAAAGCAAATGCAAGACAAGGTTTCTTTCTCACAATGCCCCAGCTCAAGAGCTGCTCCTGTTGTAAGAGGAAGTGTAACATGGCGTAGAAACCCTTTTAAAGGTGCAAAAGCTAAAGATGATTCAAAAGCACCATTAAACCTAACGCTGGTCTTTCACTGAACCCTCTCAACCAGGGCAGCTGTCTTAAGTATTTGTGATTGAGAGTCCCTGAAATAGTAAGAAAGGAAAGAGCGTGAGAAAGAAAAAGTGATACATGAAACTTGTCTCTGTTTTCTGTCAGATGCATCCGTGGTGTGCCGGGTATGCACGGCCATGTCCTACGAACGGCTCTATCAGATGAAGAGCAAAGCGCAGTACTCACGCGGCATGATCCCTTGGCTGACCAGTTCTTCCCGCGTCCGGCGCTGCTGGAGCTTCAACTGCAGCACTGCAAGGCAGCAAAGAGAGAGGGGAGATGAAGGCTCAGCTGGACGTTCCTCCACAAAAAACACATTTTCAAATACAAAGAAAGTCTCCCAAACAGAGTGTAGCGTGGAAGAAGGATCTCCTGTAATTGCGACTGTAATTGCAGAAGTGGCCTGATACAGCAGGGTTTCCGTACTCTGCTGTGGGTGGCGGGAGGAAGTTGCAAAGGGTCTTGCAGAGTGATAACAATCCACAAAGTACCAAAGTCTTGCCTAATGCTGAAAACTTCCTACAACGCGGTATCTTCCTCCTAGCACTAAAAACAAATTCTTAGCTCAAATAAAATACAGACAGACCCACCAGCCTGGAGAAGAAACTTTTCTAGCAGCCTTACACTTTCTAGCTGGTAGCAGGAACTCACCACCATAAACAGCAATAGAAAGATTCTCGTAGATTAGAAAGGACTGATCATTTAGTAAAATCTTTTCTTTCATTACCTAAAAAGCAGTCCTATCTTCAGCAAGCAATGCATTTATCTAGGCCAAAAAAAATACTTTATCATTAATACATCTCTCTTCTCCCCTTCACTTAGAGATGCATCAACCACCAGATGATTCAAAGCAACCCGGGGGCTGTGGGGCCTGACGGGTGCTTCTCCTACCTCTGCCTCAGCAATACCACTTGATGAAACAACTTTACAGGGGTTTTTTTAAGTTAAAAGTCAAATATCTCTATTTCAAATGCCAATGAAACTTAAAAGGGTGTTTCCACCACTCAACATGCAGAAAGAAGATGGCTTGGCCTTCACTGAGATGCTAAGTAAGAAAACACCAGTGAAGAGGATCCCATCAAGTTCCCTGATAGGAGAGGCCTTCAATGGAAAAGTCCTTGCAAACCTCCCACAAGAAGGACCTGCATCTATTACTTGTATTACCTGAAATAACTGCTGTTTCCATCCATAGAGCATTTTTCAAGAAAGTCTCCAAAAATAGCAGTGGTAGACTCGCTCTGACCTCAGATTCTACAAGTCCGAACAAAGTTGCACTAGCCTTTCTCCCAAAAACCTAATCTACTTCCCAACTTTTAAATCTCTTTAATTGGTGTCACTATCCTCCCCAGCACTAATAATACATTTCTGGGCCAATTTCAACTCTTCTCTCCTCAAGCTCCTGCCTCCGCAAATCCACCACACCAGGGTTTCCCAGGTTGCAGCAACAGCTTGGGCTGGTGTCCTTGCTTGTACCTAACCCACACCAGTCATGGGTGTACAATTACTCTTCCTCAAGTACCACAGACTTTCCCCAGCTCTGCAGTCGCTTCACCTGGAAACCCAAAACTTTTCACCAGCCCTTCCTGGTTCCCCAGCTTTCAGAAATACTCCAGACCTCCTCTGAACTACCACTTGTTATAAAAAGTACAGCTGGGCTCTCCCTGGTGTCACAACAGGTTAAAGCACTGCATTATGAAGCTCTCTGAAGCCACCAAAGCATAAGTTCGATCCCCGGCCAGGAAGGTGACCCACATGGTGTGGCAGACCTCTCCTGACCCGCTGGCTGCTCCCCTCAGCAGTGTACTTCATCAATCAATCTGCCTATTTTGCTCCCCACTCTGTCTCTGGTGAATCTTCTCATCCACCACTCCTCTGGCCTGTACCCCAGTTCTGTATGCATAAATAAATAAATCTTTAAAAAAAAAAAAAGGTATAGTTGCCCTACTTAATAGTTAGCTCTCTTTGTCCCCTACTAGTCTACAGCTCCTGGAGGACCAGGTATATAACTTATTGGTATGTGTTTCCCCATAACACTTAATACAAAGCAAGTATTTAATAATTATTCCTTGAATTAAACTGGATCTCAAAATGATGATACATAATAGCCTGTGAGATTTAATCAGAAGGTTATTACTTTACTATTTTCGTTATTATTACTAACAATACTACTTTAAAAAACCCTTTCAGTATAAAACATAAAACAGTATCTCTATACTAGTAATTAGCATTTATAGAACATGAGTTCTATTCCAGACACGTGTGTTTTCATGTTTTAACTCATTTAACCTTCTTAAGTTCCCTTCGGAGAGAAAGATATTATTAATACTATTTTACAGGTAAGGGAAATGAGACTCCAAAAGATTAAGTAAGTACTTAAGCTTACCTACCCCACTAATAAGAGGTTTAACCAAATGTGAACACAAGCAAGTTCTGGTTCCAAAACCTGGGGTCCTCTACAGCTCAGTTTCTCTAGAGTCTTTTGGAAGTCCATGCTGCTGAGATAATAAGCAAGGGATGTGATCACCTGGGTTCATTCTCAGGGAGTCAGAGGTGCTAGGAAAATGATGCTTCAGGCCTGGTTCAAAGGTATTTGGGAGAATAACTTCATTAAAATAAATTCAAGTTAAACTAGAAACTTCATTTCAGAATAAATTATAACCACTGATAAGCAATAATTACAATAACAAAATACAATAAAGAGTCACTGAATGTTGCTATCAGTCACTATGTTAAATGACTGATGCTGCCTTTAGCCTGTTTAATACAACAGAAGCTCTGTGAGGATGGTCTAGTTATTATCTCCATTTTACAGATGTGAAAACTAAGGATCAGACCTTTAAAACTTTGTCTTAGGCTACTTAAAACTATGTCACACATCTCTTTGGAGGAAAGAAAGCATAATATAACAGAGAGAAAAGGGAAGATACTTGTAAACTTTTGGAGTTTGGGGTGGTTTTTTTTTGTTTTTTTAAGATTTATTTATGCATAAATAAATCTGGGGGTACAGGCCAGAGGTGCAGGGGCAGTGAGAGGATTCACTACAGTCAGAGTGGGGAGCAGAACAGGCAGACTGAGGAAGTACACTGCTGAAGGGAGCAGCAAGTGAGGTCTGTTGCACCATGTGGGTCATCTCCAGGGTGGGAATCAAACTTGTACCAAGTGGCCACGGCCAGATTCGCAATGCTGCTCTTTAACCCTTTGTGCCACCAGGGAGGGCCAACTTTCGGGGTGTTTCTAAGGCTCAGTGTAAGATGAGATATGAGAAAATTAAATATAGCAAACCAACTTTCAGAACAGTGAAATCTAATGCAATTCAGTAAAATTGATCTCTTCAAAGAAATAATAACTAATGAAAACTATGCCTATTATCCAAGAATAATTCTAAAATATCAATCAGCAGTCCTTCTAAATAAACATACACAGGCAGGGTCATAATTAACATCATGCAAACTTCTTGAAAGCAAAAATTTAGTCTATGACTCAAGTTTCTATGAAGAGCATAATAAAGGCCTATTTAGGGTCTTGTTTTTTAATTGTTCTAGTTTGAAAGGGGGATTATGTAATAAACCTTTTTTCTATGTTTAAAATTAAATAAAAATTATGGTTTTGTTATATGAAAATTTCACCCTACACCTCTCAGCAGTTAACTCTAAACTCCTTGCTGTTGTGGAAATCTGACCAAGTTCCCCATTTAAGTAATTGAATTTACCCTAAACAGGTATTATTTTTAGGTATTGCAACAACTTAATTATAGGTATGACTGTTTTGTACATTGCATAACCTTCTCCTGCTGTGTCTGACATGGCTTAGAAGGAGAAGGGGATAAAAAGACCTAAGCAGTAAATTCAGAGTTACGGTGGTCCACCTAGACTTAATTTTGTCTTTAATTATCTACTTGGCTGTGTACATATACAAGAATCCTTCAACTATGAAGAAACAGAAAGTCATGAATTTTTATTTTCCTCAATATTTTAATTTTTGTATTCTAAGCATGCTAAATAAAAGACCTTAATTTTCCAGACCTTAGAGATTATTACTTTAAAATAATTTAATAACTTATTTTCAGAAAATACCTTAAGAGTAATGTATTCTGTGTTGACTGCAGGAAAGTAGCAAATTATGAATATATTTAGTATAATAAGTTAATGCTAATTTAATATATTTAATGCACATAACTCACTGAGATCTATTTTCACAATGCTAGAATAAGGAGACTCAAGAGAATAGGAATTTGACCAAATATGACTGATTTCCTCTCCATTGCAAGTCAATAAAAACTAAACAAAAAAGCCTATCTGTATATTGACATGAGTCTTTATATCTGCACTGTTACTGAGTTCTACAAATAGAATATACCATCTGTTTTCAAATGAGTCTATGTAAACAACCTCTATATAGATAGATGCCTTTAAAGTTGTTAGATGGTGAATCAACTGAGTTAACTGCCTGCCAGAAAAGGACTGCAATAAAAGGAAAATAAATCAAACCATGAAGTGGGGGATCCTGGGTACTTCACTGGCCATGGTAATAACTGTTTTCTACCAGTTCCAAACAGCAGCAATCACCTAGTGTTTCAGTAATTGGTTACTTGGAAAATTCAAGGAGTGAACGATCCTATTAAGACCATGCAAATATGTTGATGACATTCAAGGACTAATGTCTAAGAACTGACACATCAAACAACTGGGTCGATCAGGACTGGGGGGGGGAGGGAAGTAAGTACTGTTCTTTAATCTCAGCTCTGTGACTTCCACTGGTCACTGGTCCTCAATTTCACTGGATAGAGATGAGCAGCTAGGCTGGCTGTTCAATAATCAATATTGATTATTGAATGATTTCCCCCACCCCCGCAAGATTTTTAGCATAGGGAGAATTAGTATAAGTTATAAGGAAAGCAGAAAGTACAAAGGAGTTTAATATGGGAGTGACATGTAAAGAACAAGAATTCTCCTGCACCATCCTTTTCTCGGTAAGAACCTCTTCAAGGAAAATTCTGACTGCAGGGACATTCCACTAATTCACCCTAACTCAGTAACACTGACAAAAGTTTTTTCTTTTTCTTTAAATTTCTGTATGATGCTTGAACTTCAAACCAAACCAAATCAAACTGACAATGAACTTGGCAACAGTATTTCTGACTATGTTACAAAAGGCTCCAAAACAAACTTGTTGACAAGTGTCCCTTGTCTAGAAAGTATAAGCTAGTCAAAATTTGCTTTATTAGCAAATCAATGAAATTTATACATGCTTGA